GAGAAGTAAATTATTTTTACTGAAAATGACCAGAATTTATTTATACTTTTTTAGAGACACTTTTTAGAATAAATATGACGTCCGTCTGATAATCTATCAAGTTATATGACTGTTATTTGTTTGCATTTCTGGCTTATTCTAAAAAAAGTGGTAATTCTATCAAAGCGTCCGACTGCATGATTCAGATACATGTGAAACTGATGTTAAAAAAAAACAAAGATCTGTCTAAAGAATGGTTTTATTTAATGAGGAATAAACGTATATTGATTAAAAATCTCGCGATTCATCTGCGGTGATTAACGCGTTTTCAAGTCTGTAAAGAAGAAGGCTTCCCGTAATAATAACAAAAAGACTAATTACAACGTACGACGGCGTATAGCTCTGTCTAATCAACAACCAAACACGGAACTAAGTGCAAACAAATATGGAAACTGTTTGGTTTAGACAAAGGTACGAGGAATGTACAAAACTGGAAATAACTGTTACAACGGTTACGAGAAGGTAATTATTACAATAAATACGGTAAATTAATAGTTGAATTCATGAGTCGATTAAAGTCAGACCACTATGGAAAACCTGGAAGCACTGGATGGCCGTTTCGTCCTAGTATGGAACTGCTCAGCAGTGTGCATCCACAACCCCGCACCACGCGGGATTCGAACCCACGATCTATCGGTCTCGCGCGTGAACACTTAACCACTAGACCACTGAGCCGGCATTCAACGGTAATAATGTCTAACTTCAACCAATCCACGAAATTGTGCCACCGTACACCATTGTCTTCAGTGAGTGGCTGCCTTACAACGGACACGGTTGAACTTCACTGGTACAGAGGTTACGAATTCGCGCGCGAGACTGTTAGGTCCTGGGTTCGACTCCCACGAGCGGGATCGTGTGTGTGTACTGCTGAGGAGTCCCATACTAGAACGAAATGGCCGTCGAGTGCTTCCAGATTTTCCGTGGTGGTCTAGCTTTAATCGACTCATGAATTCGACTATTATATTACTACAATCTCCACAAAACCTCCTTTCTTATAATACGGTAAATGTTGTAAGTGTAAATGAATGTTCTATGATATTACACAACAAATAAACTTGTGGCACACCATGCACTTAGATGTTATGAATAACAGAGCAGGTTACTGAATAGCTTAATAGCTTCTAATAAATTGAGCATTGAGCAGAATGTTAATAATAAATTTATGTACTTTTTTGTTGTATCTTATTGAGCAGAAAATTGTATTTTTGACGTCCTGCAACTTAATGTAAGCCACTTGTTTCCTTTTCACTACTGAAACTTGTGTCAATTTTATTTCTGTTATTGATTTGCTCTGAAGAAGTGGCTTGCGTTAAGTCACGAAACGTCAGAAATCTGATTTTCTACTGTTTGGGATATGGCAACAATATTTTTATCTATCATTAGTTTACTCAACAATAATAAGTACTATAAAGCCATACACGAAAAAGAAGTTGATTGGGGAGAGAATAAGGACCGAAAATCCAAACGAAACTAACATAAAGTATGAATAATTTTTTGGTTAGTAACCCCCTACTTGTTTATTTGTTGCTAAATCATAATTTAATATCACCTTTGATGGTTGGAATAATAGGTCATGATAGGTCTCTTTGCTATAGTTTCGTGAGTTATGTCCCTCATCAGTAACCGGTATTAAATTAGTGTATTCATTTTCTCCTCATGAGCTGAACATTATGCAAAATTGCATCGGCATGGAGCTTAGCAAGGCAGCATAGTGGTGCTCAAAATGGTAGCTGTAGCCTAATACAGCTAAATATGGATGGATATCCTTCGGTGATACATCACTCAACTTAGATCTAACCACCAATGGGGAGGAGTTATCTAAGTTACATACAATAGTAGACTTAGGACGATTTGTAATTTACAGACCAGGTATTGAAACAGACCTCCAGGTCTCAACGTCTTTTGAGTTGCATAACTCTAAACCTTTATAAAAATGAGTTACGTATTTTGACTTGTAAAGTTTGTGTTCGAACACTCTTAGAATACTACACGTTTATTCTTAGCAATGGGCGCGGAAGGGATAAATTAAGGTTGGAATCAGTACAGAGACGATTTACACTTCGTATTCTTGGAACTGATTGTACCTTGAATTGCAATTCCAGATGTAATAAACTTGGGCTTGATCCTTTATGGAAGAGGAGACTCAAATTAAATTTTATCTTTTTCTTAAAAATACTTCATAAACTATCCTTTACATCCAGTCAAGCAATTCAGTATTCAGAAACTTCTAATTACGACATCCGTAACTCCTTGCCACTAGTAAAACAAACTCATCTAAATCATCTCTCTATGTGAATTACTTTACCTGTAAATTTTCCAGACTCCAGACTAATCTACAACAACCTATCCGTAAGATAAAACCACTCCCATCCTTTGTTCACTTCATTGATGCATACTGCTCCTCTGAAAATACATTGAATTGTCTAGCACCTGTAAATTTATTTTATTCGAGAAGTGAGGTTATAGAGACTTTAAATGTTTAGCCATTCTTGTCACTAAATTCATTAAGTAAAACCGTCCACCCGTCTTTACTTTACGTTAACAACGTACCTGACAACCCTAACTAATTTGAATAATATCTAACATGAACAGTATATCACTGAGTCATATGACATGCATTATGGTAGACCTGGCTGACATACTTCAGTAATTATTGCTTCGTTGTTCCGTGCTCTCTGTATCCATTATTATCCATTATTATAATTATTTCGTTATGGCACAGGAAATGATCTTAAATGCACCGTTCATAAATCAATAGAATGTCCACTTAAGAAGAATTGAAAGTTCCCAGCCGATGCATTGCATTGCTGCAATACATGTCATAAATGTACTACCTAAACAATTTTTGAAATATCAAACTTTAAACAATCTTATATCACATGTTTGTTCCCTACATTTAATGCCATTATTTATATCGAGCTGATCATGCCTATAAATTGGCGTGAATTGTATAACTGTTATTTTGAGAAAGTATATTATTATTATCATATATAGCATTCTATAAACACATGTTGCCAACTCAATTCCCCAATGAGGGAAGATGATATATTTATGAAAGATAGTTCACATAATAATGTAAAAGTACGAAGCCTACTTATCTGCACTACATCAATAAAATATCAGGAAAAGACAATATCTCAATAGTTATTATACTATTATTGTTCATTGTATACAAATTTACAAAGTCTATATTGATAATATATTCCTTTACAGTCACTATTCGATACACTGATCTTAATAACCAATGTCAACTGATATATATTTTTCTCCATATAATGTCTGTTGAATGGACAATTATAAACTATTGACAGTGAAACACATTTTCGCTACAGATAAATAGTTTTCAGTGCACTTACTAACATCCAATGAACTAATTGTGTCAAAACGTCGGTAAATTATGGCATAAAATGAGATGACTATTAAACACGAATACATTAATTTTGTGCAAGACATTTTCCATAACAGATTATTGTTTAATTACACCGATAACTGATTTTCATACTAAGCTTCATTATTTCACACTTTTTACTTGTGGGGGGGTGCGAATATAAAATAACTAGTAATAACTTAATCCAAAACTCATTTACTCTAAGGATTACGGAACTTGATTTAACAGCTGATAGTGATGTAATCGATGTTTTTCATCATTCTCAGAGCTGTGGTGGTATCAGGAAACGGAGAAAATCATTTGCAATAACGAAAGGAAGAACGTTGAATCTTGGAAGTTTGAAGGCTGCTTATCCTTTTTCTCGAAGTAAATAACATACAGAGAAAATATTTAGAGAAAGTTAGCACAAATATCGTTGACAGTAATTTTCAAGTCGAGAGCGCGCGCTAATGATCGATTGTGAAGATAATTTAGCAGGTTATTTCATTTTGAAACTTTTCTGGATAACATGGTCCAGAAAAACAGTAAAATGCTCATGGAAAAACTGTCAAACACGGAGAATATAACACTACCAAAAATCTTTGAACATATCTTTTTGAAAAAATAAATCCCAGTAAGCTAATTGAGAGCTTGAAACATTTTATACAACAATCTAATCTCAGTATGATTCATAACACATGTAAATTGGTTTGGTTTGTTTCCTAATGTTATGTTTCGTCAATCTAAGGATTTAGAAATAAACACCAAACATTGTTACGATTTGTAAAGGTGTTGAACAGTTGTTTACGTCCCTTGACTAGATCATATGAAATTTTATGGGAAAAAAGAAATAAGCTTAACGCGTTGAAAATTCGTCCTTTTTCAATGTGGTATTTATTGAAATTACGTTACTATTATTGTATTTTCACATTAATTATTTAACTTCAAACAATAGTTCAAAACTTATGTAAATTATTGAACAATTTGTAATTGTTAAATAAAACTCAACAAATACAGAGCTTTGGTTATTGTTAAAATAAAATGTTGCATCCTAGCAACCTCGTAAATTGCACAGTTGTATTTTCTGGTTCTGTAATATATATATATATATATATATATATATATATATATATATATATATATATATATATATATATATATATAATTTATTAAGGATGTAGGTATTTTATGGTATTGGTAAGCAATCGGAGTACACTCATATGTTGCTTATCGTTTTTTATTATCAGTAGAGGGTACACAACTAGAACAACAATTAACCAATCACTTTAATGTTGAGTAAAAGAATAGCAACTTGAAATGACCTTGGATATCACTACATAGTTAAAACAATAGAAAACTTATGTTTGTATGTTTGTGAGTGTGTAATTTACGGATGTTAGATCAACTATTTGATATGAAAAATTTTACCAATTTCATTCACTGAATTCTCTAAGCAGTTTTTTAAACCCTCATAAATTATAGTAGTACTGTTTGAATATGAAAAGGAACATATAAGAAATCTGTAATTTAACTAAACGATAATACCTTCCAATAGATACTTCCAGTTACAAATTTATTTGATGATAAACGTCACCGAATTATGAACAGAAACAAGGAAGAACTAAAGCAAATCTCATCTCAGAAGCCTTTCATTCTGGTATCGTCACACGTAAATATGGACAATAGTAAAATTTCATCAGACGATTCGATGACTTCACATGATACACCTCCATTTTTATCTCACATGTATATTGATCAAAAGATTCATTCATTCAATAGTAAATTTAATTATTTAAAACCATATTTATCAAAAGGTTCCAGAGGATCTTTACCTTATACACTTAATATACCTGAGTCTATACCAGAGGTTTCTGTTTCACCACGTCGTCATTCCGTATCATTCAATCTAGTTGATAGTCATTCACAAAATTCTTCGCATCATCAACGTTCAAGTTCATCATTACTGGACGATATCATAATTGAACCCATTGAATTTGAGAGATGTTTATCTCCTTTAAGGGCATGTGATCTAGCTGCACCATGTAGTAATACATTCGAAGAAGTTCTAAAAACACTTAAACAAGACAACCGCGGTGATCGTTATAGCAATGATGAATTTATTGGTTAAGAAGGCATTGATATTTCACCGCGACACCTGATTTATATCTCTTATTTGTATATATAACGTTATACGAAAAAGTGCTTATTTAAAATTATAGATGAATACAGTTTACTTATGGCCACCAACATATTTTCATTTTTATTGTCTTATGTAGTCAGTAATTATTTTATTATGAAGTATTGAAAACAACTTCTGGCAAATCAGTAAGTAGTTTGGGTTTTAACTCACATATGCCTTTTACTTCATTACAATTGATTGAATGTTTGTTAGAACTTACCAAAATGACCCGATGAAATTCGACAGTGAAGTCTTACTAACATTAGGAGCAAGAGTAAAATGTTGTTGTGACATTCTATATCCATTTGTTTTAGTCAGATAAATTTTGAAATAAGCGACAATGAATATTCTTATGCAAAGCGAATTATGTGTTGACACTAAATATCTCACAAATCCACATAAATGTACTGATGAGCATTATGAATAATTTTCTGCTCTTTGTAAGTCATACAACTGAAAAGAATAAACGCAAACAGTGTGGTTAAAGATGGTCGAGATTACGGGATGTTTTACCGTGATGACACTGTAAACTTTTCTGAGTGCATAAGTCCCTGTAACTATTTTAGGAAAACAGAATACTTGAACCCTTCTTCAAGGCGATAGATCCTTACCTTCATATATAGGCTAATGAATTGTTGGAAACTTCTGTATTTCAGGATAGAGTGTCATCCTAAAGCTTTATCTAGTACTTTTTTCCGAAATTTTTTTCAAATTAATTTTTTTGGATATGGGTTATAGATGTAGAATTCTAGTTAAATTCAAACGTCAAGTTTCAGGGTAGTTTTTTTAACCTGAAAGCTTTTAGGAAATGCAACAGTGAAAACTATTTTATAGCAACAACTTTTATCAAACTAATAACTAACAGTAATCTGGATACTCAGTTTTTCAAAAAATCCACACAAGCGTAATACATAACTCGATTTATAAACGACAAGCAGTCATGGAATATAGCCTTTTCAAATAAAGTATCTACTTTGCACTTAGTACTTAATGTAACTATTTGAGCAACTTGAGATTGTTCGAAACGTTTACATCTGGTAAGCTAAAATCACTTATACTACAATGATCGTGTATTCGATTCCTTCCGATAAATAAGTTTTCTATGTCGGAACTCCTATTCTTTAGCTACTGAATAACCAAGACATTGTGGTTGATTGTCGGGATCAGTAAATTACAATGTTTTAGGAGTAACTAGCATGTTATGAAAAATACAATGTCCAATTTCATTGATCACTTTTGTTTATATTCTAATGTAACTATTTTGTGAAAAACAAGTAGGTAAGGTCCAACAAAGAATTAACATAAAAGCTCATCATAATTCGTGCAAGACGTTTCTACATTTACGGTACATTGGCTTATTTGTCGGTTTTCTGATAATAGATAGTGAATGAATTTATTACAGTAGGTGTAAATTCAAGAATTCCCTTATTAAGGATTAGTGTAACTTAAAGACATCTGACAGACTGAAACAAAACAGTGACGACATACAATGTCACGTTCACATATTAAATTTTTATCATTCTTGCATTCTATCAGTTTAAGTAAAAAATACAGGCTACTATCGGCGAGGAAACCACCAAGTATCAGCTGATACTCATAAAGTGAGGTTTAACAGTTCCTTAAAATCAATTAACTTATATCAGATAATTTAAAAATGATAGAAAATCATCACCCTGTTATCATGAATGTTAATAAAAGCGCTTGTTTAAGTAAGCATGTCAGTCAGCATATTTAACCGTTTATACGTCTCAAACACCATGAAATTATGAAAGTTGTTTTATCCTCAAAATAAGAGTAAGATGATGAAACGGAACACAGTTGAATCTTCCTTGCATTAATGCTGTATAATATTCAATGTAGTTTAAATAACTCTTCATTAGAAAATAGTGTCCATTTTGAATGAGAATTTATTCATTTGTCAAAGTAATTGTCAGTTATTATAGTGACATAAAATACAAACGGTTTTTAACCAGAAAAATACTCAATAAGATCAACAATTCAATCAGATATTAAAAAACTAAACCACTCTTGGTAAGATGTAGTTGTTAGTTTGTTTGTAAAATATTCAAAGAGCAAAGAAGTAAGTGGAAAAGCAGACGGTAATTTCTATAATAAGAAAAAAATAAACTTGAACTCTGAAACTCAAATTTAAAACCATAACGGTACAAATATATGTAATTGCATTGTTACCATGATTTAGTTTCCATTTAGGGCGTGGTTTAAATTATTTTCTCATATTTTAGTTTACTTAACTCGTTACGAAACAACGTTTTATGTGCTAAAAATAACTAAAATACACCAAAACAATTTTCATCAAGCATTGTAAAGATGCAATTTTCCTACATAAAAGATTAGAAAATGAAAATTTTGGTTTGTAAAAACAGGGTTTTTTATTTTTTTTAATGAATATTAAATAGTTTCTTCTAGGTTCATTACTACGGAGTTGCAAGCTCACAATAAATACACATATCATGTTAAAAAAGTGCCTGGAAACCTTTTAGCATGACGATAGCTTTCATGTGTCTACTAAGAGTCATAGTTTGAGATTTTATAAATCTTGCATTACAGACGACTAGTAAAGTAGTGGTTGTTTAGTAGAAGTATAGGCTACAGGGAAATAAGCATGACGAAAATATTCATTTAAGTTTAGTCAAAAAGTTGTTAAAGAAAACAACATGATAATTATTGTGATAAGGCTCATTTCACAAGTATGTCTCTTCTCAAGAATGACTCATTTATATGTATTCAATATTTTTACCTTATTGGAATGATCATCTAAGTCAAACTTTAATCTACATATCAGAATGGGTTTTGTGGAGAGTTTTAGAAATTTCACAGGTTGAAATCATGAGTCGATTGAAGGTAGACCACCATGGAAAACCTGGAAGCACTGGATGGCCGTTTCGTCCTAGTATGGGACTCTGCAGTAGTGCGCATCCACGATCCCGCACCACGCGGGATTCGAACCCACGATCTATCGGTCTCGCGCGCGAACACTTAACCACTAGACCACTGAGCCGGCATCCAACGGTGTTAATGTCTAACCTCAACCAATCCACGAAATTGCGCCACCGTACACCATTGTCTTCAGTGAGTGGCTGCCTCACAACAGACCTGGTTGAACTCCACTGGTAACGGCTTCTCACTAGAACTCCAGGAGTTTTTCCTGGAGTCAGTCACTAGTGAGCAGTAGGTCTTGGGTTCGAGCCTCGCGTGGTGCGGGATCGTGGATGCGCACTACTGCAGAGTCCCATACTAGGACGAAACGGCCGTCCAGTGCTTCCAGGTTTTCCATGGTGGTCTACCTTCAATCGACTCATGATTTCAACCTGTGAAATTTAATCTACATAGTTCAAGTTTACTATGCAATTCCTAGACTGGTAGTTCGACTAAATAGACGACTGGGCTGGATTCTAAAAAACCGTCACTTATTACATGCAGTGTGTCTAATAAATGAATTTATTTTCCTTCAGATTAGCTATGAAGTCGAAATGATAAAATAAGAAACTTAAATTTTCTTCAAAACCAATAAAAACCTGTTTGTTTTAAAAATCCTACCCTAGTTTAAATAAATTTTTCTGCTGGGATATTTGGAGTATAGAGGTCTAACTATATCATCATATCTTAAATTGAATTTTACTTTAAACCATAGTACTAGGGTAATAAACTGACAAAATCTATTGAAGATAATAGTCAGCTAAACATAGACGTTTTATAATCTTACTGACAACATCTCGTAAAGCTCACCTTTTGACTGCTTTTCCAACTTTATAAAAATATAAGCATTTCAATAAGTATACAATTGAGTAAAAACTTAATAATATCAGTTATTTATGATGTCTTTCAAAGCTCCAAATTTTCTATCTGATTAGTCCCTTCAGATAAAAGTAAATTATTAATCGAAATAAATTGGAGAACTACAAAATTTTCAAACATCTGGTCGGTATTAAGAACATTAAAAATATAGCTTCAGCTAATTGACCAATTATGATCTTTACGGTAAGTATTGAGGTACATATTGTTAATTTACTCATCACCATTTATTGGACAGGCAGTCTAATATATATATATATATATCGGTGTACAACTATGATAGAGAACCAAATAAAAAATTATTTCCTCGTTTAAGTTGTATTTTATGAAGCGTATTTTAGCTATAGCACGTTTTTAACTTAAGGCAATCAACAGTTTCAATGTCAGGTATAATAAAACTGATTTTTTTTCCATTTTTGAAGTTAATAGTGCAAATCGTTCAGTGTGATCTAGCCCTACAGTTTATTGAAAAATTTTCACTGCACACTAACTATTCTAAACTATTATGTTTTTCCGGTAGCTAAACAACGCCATATTTTTTGACGAACATATATTAAACATTTCGGGCGAAAAAAAGTACAAACTACTCAGATTACATCTTATTTTGTAGTAAACATTCACTTCATTAGTTATCTAAATTGAATGAGCTTATAAAGTTACTGTAAATCATATAAAGTCGTTTTCTATATGAGATATACATAAATTGTAAAATAATGTGACTGTAAAACATTTTCAGGAGAAGTTATTGACTGGTCACTGATATTAATTCAGTTAATTGGTTGGAAATATATTTATGTGATACAACTTAAAACATGTTTTGGTCTGATTTATCTTCTCAACAGTTAGTTTTCAGAGAATGCTGGTACCCTGTTTAGCAACTTTATTCGTTAACATGATATTAGTCGATAATGCTAACATGACAAAATTACTTTTGTCAATTTATATTACATTACAATTAACCCTTTCTAACAATAGTGTTTCGAAATCCGTGCCAACTATCGTTATCTCTTGTCCTAAGCATTATGGTTGTGTCTAGTAGCTGGGTCCCCTTATTCAATTGATTAATCATTTGTTGGTCAAGTCGATATTCTCTAATAACGGAAAAACGCCTCTTGCCAGTAGCCGTTGTGAAGCTATTTATGGAGACTCCACCAGTGTCTAATTATGACAATGTTT